ATTTTATCAGCAGAGTATAACTCCTGCTCAGTAGTATATTACTAAACCCTAGCACAAGTATTCATTGGCAAAGCTCCAGTAGGATGGGTATAGCTGAGAAATAATACTTACGTGAGTGCAATTTATACACTACAGATCCACTTGAAGTTTTTCATTATGTCAGTTCATATTTCTGATTTGGCCTGATTAGTTGCAGTTTTTATACTGGGAAGAAGTAATATAAAATAGTGTTTATTTTTAGCAAAGTTATTTTTAAGGTACTGTAAATGACTATTAATTGACAGGTTAACTAAACCATTCCAAGAAGCATACCTTTGTTGTTAATGCTATTGCAGTACTGAGGGAGTTGACACCACCCAACCTTGTACATGTCTTGCAGTCTTAAGACTTTTAGTCTCACTTCTGCAGTATTATTATGAGCAATTTTATTAAAAAAGAGAAGAGAAAGGAAAATAAAGTTCCTTTAAGATTGATGTTGCAGCAACAAGTTATGTAAGACCAATTTGAAACCATCTCTTTAAAACCTTTTAAGGAAGTATCTTCTGCTTTGCTATGAAATGTAAAGATATCAACTTCTCCCTCCTTGTCCCCACCTCTCTCTTGCAGTTTCAAAGTTTTATTGCTGTTTGCTGTATTGATTTTACATGCTGTCTCTTGTAAGTATAACAAAAATTCCACTTCTGGAGACAGCTTGGAAAACAAAGTTTGCGTACTTGGGAGATTGACTCAGAAGGAGCTTGATTGATAGCGTGCCTTTAAGAGCAGGTTTGTTTTATGATTAAGGGTGTGTCTATTTGCTGTGTTTGAAATTAATACCTACAAAATGTTGAAGCAGTGACTTTTCAACAGCTGAGTTATGTGAAAAGCTGCCATGACTTTGATTTGCTTCCTGGTCAGGTCATGACCACCATTTAGTTGTAAAGAGCTATGATAGAAAGATCCTGGGGGCTTTTGTTTGTTTGAACCCTTGTGGTAAAATTAATATCTTCCTACCTATTGCTGTAATTGGAGTGGAGCAATTCCTGTGCTGCTTGGGCTGTTGGAAGATCCCCATTCAGAATTCCCGGGCAGCACGTGGTCAATGCAGGTCAGCTCCCATGGAAGATGACCAGTTTTTCTGTCTGCTCTGCAGCTGAGCATCTGCGTGTGGACACTTGATCCTTTCTTCTTTCTACCCTTAGGAACTGTTTGTTTGGGTTATGTGCTGTTGGGTAAGAAGACTGAATTTTGTTATAAATCAGGATATTTCCAGTTAGATTGCGTGTAGTTATGTGACCAGATGACACAATCATCTGGGTAGCAGAGCAATGGGCAGGAGAGGGTGGCAGGGATGAGTGGGTGGCTCTGAAGGTTGGTGCAGCTCAGCTCAGATGGGTGAGTTTTTCAGATGCTTCATGGCTGGAAGGAGAACAGGGAGACTGTAGCGGCAGAGGTCATACAAGACGTGTCAGTACGAGTATTCTACCCCAGCTTGTTACACTAATGCTTGTCTTCACCACTATGACAGTAGTAGTCACTGATAAGTCTGCACCAGTGCAGATAATACAGTCATTAAGTGCCCTTGAAACAAATGTACTGTAGACCCTGATGCAATCTGGGTGAATTATTTGACATGAGATGCATGGACATGTTTTCTGTTTTATAATACTGAATTATATTCACACTTGGTTTAATTTCTTCTACTGTAGATGAGTCTTCAGCAGATCTGTGTCAGCTGAGGAGTTTCTGGAAGATTGTCCCGCTGATATTTGTAAAATAAATCAAAAAAATCTGAATAGACTTTTGAAGCAAATAGAATTTAAGATACCTAAGGATGAAAATGGAAGTCAGTAAATAACAATGCTAGTGAAATAGCATAATATGAAAAACAGTACTTATATTTGAAACTAAACTGTGACTTCTAACAGCTGGTCTTCCAAATTATTTAAATTGAATTCTTTGGCTATGGAAATGCACATCATATTTCTGTGTTTCATAGATGTGTAGGTTGTAACAGAGAATTACAGCACAGTGACTTCTGATACTGTGCTATTTCGGTTTTAGTATTTGAACTAGAATATTATCAGGTCAGTTCTTCAATTAGTATAAGTTGTTGTGACTCAGTGAAATGTTGTAGTGCCATGGAATGTTTTATGGCTCGATTTGTGATCCTTTATCATCTGCCACTTCAGGAATCTAGTCTGCACCAACCACTCTTGGGAATCCTTGCTCAGCTGATAAACAGTGTGCACATGTCTAGACATCTCTCAGAGTTTCTTTTTGTTGGCAAAATGAAGAATGGAAGCCACTTAAATAATGAAACAGTTGAGTGCTTTAAATTATTCTGAAAAACTGTTACTAAGGTCAGAGCCATAGAATTATTTTAAACTCAAAATGAAGCTTGGGATGGGAGTTTTTGGTGAAATGTGGATGTATGTGGCAGAGATGATGAACAAGGTCTTATAAAATGCAACTAGTAATAACAATTAAGAGTTCATAGCTGAGTCAATGGGCAGTGATTTACCCTAACAGGATCTGTCTTTCCGTGTCTGAATTAACTGTGTTATAGAGAAACCTTAGAATCTTGCAATTTTTTTACTGATAATTTGCTATAATCTCATTTTTTCCTAAGTATTTACTGAGGCACAAGGAAGAAAAGTGTTTTGGTCAACAGAAGACTGCGTAAGATCCCAAACTGACATTTTCTTTGCATTCCATATTTTTCTTAATTTACAAGTGATCTTAACATTTTTGCTCAACAAATTGATTCTAATTATATCTGGAAAGCAATAAAATATTCTGTAATGTCTTCTGCTAGAAAAATCAGCTATAAATGCTGATTTTAGAAACCATCTGCTAAATATAGTGTACTGTAATATACTTGCAAACTGGATGCCTTCCTCTCCCTCATATTTAATATTATCATGCCTGCAGTATGTTTACTGCTTGTGGATGAAAAAGGTATATTGACATGCTTATTATTTGTGGCAAATAGTTGTGTTTTGGCTGTCATAGGTGCTGGTAAAGTGTATGAGGGGACACATCAGGGAATGGCCTCTGCCTTGATTTCTTAGGTATATCTACCTACTTAATCAGAAGGCTGAGAGAGACATCCTTGTGATAATTGGGTGTGTGGGCTATGAGTGTCCTGTACACTCCAAGGGGACAGACACGGAAGAAGCCCCAAGGGAAATGGTGGGCAGTGGAGGGTTTTGATTTAGATGGAAGGACACAATTACTGGTAGTTGAGTTTTGCAGTTTTGTTGTTCTTTTGAGGATATTGACAATTACTTTGGTAAGAAGTATAAAACCATTTACCTATTTATCTACCATCTTTACCATCTACCTGATTTATGCCTTGGAAGATTAATTAGATCCCTTTGCTTTCGGAGTTTATAAATTTAAAAGTGAGGGCTGGATTGCATCACACAGACAAAGCTTTAGTTTTGTACCCAGTTGTTGTTCAGTTCCTCAATGGGCTTACCTTTTTTAAGTAAAAGCTGTCATTGTTTACAGAAACGATAACTTACATGTGGATGCCTGACACATTGGCCCTTCTTGAACTTTCTAATTTAGTTGTTTAACTTTACAGGACCTTCACATGGAAGAGCTTCCTGAAACCTTTGTGGGGGCTGATGACTTTTAGAGGCTTGCTTTTTGCTGAGAAATGTGTGAATTACAAGTGCTTAAGACAATGAGTAAAATCTACCCTTGCCTCATTCTATGGAAAGACAAGTCTCACATACATAATGGTGTGGCTAGAGGAAGGGGAAAAGCTATACAAAGTCCTTTCATGCAAATTAAATAACGATTTCTGTGATGTTTCATGTCAATTTAGGGAGAGTGTTTTTGGTCATCAGTGCACAGATGAGTGTATTATTATTGACTGAAGCTTTTTTGTAGTATGTCACTAATGAAGGCTGTTCATATTGTCAAATAAACCATTTAACCATAGATTACTTGTTTGGAAAGATACTGTCACCACAGTGAAAATGTGCCTCTGGGTCTCCCTTTCTCCAATCTGTTACAGTCCTGTACTGCCCGGTGGTGACCAGTTGAACAGCAATGTAATTTTGGCCTTATTTCTGGATCAGTTTTTTTCTCCCCTTTTAGAAACTAAATAATCTTTCTAATTGTATTAGAAGTTGAACACTCAAAAAAATTCTCCCTGCTTATTTAGTCAGAACTATGGACTGACACTGAATTCCCAGCATTATCTATATGAATTATGTATGTGAAAAGAGCACATTAATTGCAAGACTGACTCACAAAGGTGTTTTAACAGCTGTGCCCCACAGACTGCAGTGGGAACTGAGTATCTACGTACTCTGCCAGATGTGGGGACATCACAGCTCTGCCCATATCTGGAGCAAACGCTATTCCCTGCAATATAACCGTATTCTTAAGCTTTTAGGCTTAAGATTGTGCTCTAGGCTGATTCGTGTGGAATTTCCTTGGTGCAGCCTTACCAGGTAAGATGTCTGTGCTTCTGAAGGAGGGCTGGTAGATGTGTGCTGGCAGGACATGTGGTGAACCTCATTGCTTTGTAACCCACCCAGACACTCTAGTTGCTTACTGCTGTAGTTTGTCCACAAACAACAAAAACAAAGTAAGTTGCTTGTGAGATCAGTGAGGTGGAACTTGTGGAAACGTGCTTCTTGTAGTACTAGAGCACAGCAGTTTCCAAGTCCAGGCTGTAATGACCCATCTGGTGCCTGTCCCTGTAACTTGCCCAGCCATCAGCAAAATGCCAGCTAGAAATGGGGGCTTTACACTAATATCCCAGTGTGGTGAAAATGTGTGGTACAAGAAAGATTCTGAATAATCCTGGAGAATATTTTTACCCTCAAACAAATACACGGTTTTCATGTTTGGTTTGAAACGTGCTTTTCTAAAATGTGAAATCAAAATAGTGGCTATAATAGGTTATAACCCAAGGTTAATACAACCTAATAAATGTCATTTGCAGTTTTGTTCGGTTCTTTCCTCTGTTCCTCTGTTCATCTTTTCTTGCTTCCTGATTTGTTTCATTGGACATACGAATGTGCTGTAATTTGACTGGATCATGTTTCCCAGATGACTGAGCCATTATTATAAACAAGTCCTCTTGTGGATAAACTAATGAGTATCCTGTGGCAATGTCCACACAGAGGACATACCTGGCTGACTACTGCAGGATAGCTTGAAGATACTCATTTAACAGGTAACTGTTTTCCAAGTACTGTAGGTTCAATATAGAAAATAAATTGGAACACAAAGGCTTTTGTATTCCCGCTGTTAAAAGATCAGTATTTTACTTACATTATTTGTTTACATATAGGGATTTTTTATTGTATAAATGACGAAATTCAATAAATGCCCATTGTATTACGATGCAGTTTTAACTTGAGAGGAAGAAAATCAAGCACAGATAAAGCCATTAATAAATCTACTTCATTTCAGGAAAAGCTGGTCTATCTGAGATGGCTGCTATTTGAATACTTTTCAAAATGGAGTTATGTGGTGCAGCACCTACAGATTAGACAACAGCTAGAAAGTCAACCACAACAGAATCACCCACTTTACTTGCTGAGGCAACACAGCAGTATTTTGTTGATGTATCAAGCATGTAAAAACAAATAGACAGACTAACCCTCTCATAGAAAACAATCCTGTATTTTTGCCAGCCTCCTAATTTCATTGTGCAACTTGTGTAATAGATTGTAACTTGAATATATATTAACCTTGTGTGCTTATTGACTTAATAATTTTGTAATGCTGCTGATGCAAGATAAAGAGCAAATAGCTCTGTTAAGCTGAAACAGAGAATCAGACTTTGAGTAGAAGGGACCATAACACTACAACCCAAATACACTATGGAAAAGTGACACAATATAATTAAGACTGGAAAGAGAAGAACAGAACCCATCTAAGTGAAACGGCAAAGTTCTGAAAACATGTACGACTCATTGCTTTGGATACTGATGTTCCAGAAGGCACTCCGGGATGTCAAGAGATTTAGGACTAAGTTTGAAGAAGTGACACCCTTGGCCATGTTTGGCTTGTTCTTAGCAGTCAGGGTAGCACTTGAAAATATGGGCATAGTTCAATTTATTCAAGAAAAATTCACTGTCAGCAGCGCACCATGTTAGACCTTACCCTGTCTTTTCCTTTCAGCTAAAGCAGGGGAATTTGGAGCAAATACAATGCATGATAGATCTAATCCTCAATACTAGAGGATAACTTTGGAAAAATCGGGTATTGGACAAAGAAAATAAGTGCCAGTGTCAGAACTGAGATTTTGCTTTCTGTAAGCCGTGCAGATG